TCTTCACCATCAAGACTCCTGCTGTGCCTCCTCGTGGCAACACACGGTAACTGGGTGCCTTGTGGGCCCAGGCTAGATCAGCAGGGGATCTTGGAGTAGCAGTGGACCCCCAGAGGGACAACGTATAGGTCCATTGGCATGTGGACACGTCCTGGCGCCTACCAACCACTGCCCCGCTGCCTTGCGGATTAACCTTGGCAGGTATAGGCTACGGGAGTAAACCCTGAATGAAAAATCTGCGGTGGAGCCCTGCATCAGGCAGACACACTTACAGAGCTCCAGCAAGACCCCAGCGGCGATGTAGGTGGAAGAGGCGACCACCATGGAAACCCAACGACTACACCAGTGGACGAAGGCAATGCCAGATTGACAGGCTTCTAAGACGAAATCCAACAAACTGGGCTATTGGCAGTCCATTACAACTCTCCCTCTCCCCTGTCATTGCAACACTTGCACGACTGGATCAGGAAAAGGGAGAGCCAAGATGCGTGATTGCAGCCTGCGCTCCTGCCTCACCACACACATCAACTCACGTGCAGCCATACCTCTCATCATCAAAACACCTCGACCCCCAAAAGTCCAATGGTGACGGATGAGTGGCGACGGGGACAGGCAGAGATGACTGCCGGGAGTCTCTAGTCACAACTCTGCACATGAGCGGCACAGATAAGATGGTCGTTTATGCACTGGGATCTAGGCAGCAGTACAATCCGGTCCTGTCTCTGAGACTGAGCAGCCCTTTAGGGGAGCCACTCTGTTCACCCCACATGGGGAGGGGGCTAGAAAAGGTGCCCTAAACATAGCCTGCCTAAAAACCCAACCTGACTGGGCAACTGCACCCATTAAGGTCATCTTTATGCAGTTGAAAACAGAACCAAAATCACAGACCCAAGCAAAAACAAACCATACAACCTCTTATGGTCGCTGCATTGAATGTCATGACCATTCTGGATACTGGCACAAGTGCGAGTCCTGAAAGAAGAACTGTCCTTGTGGCAAAAGAGCTGGCTAGGTATAACATCAGCATAGCAGTCATCAGTGAGTCCTGGCTCCCAGATGAGGGCCAACTCACAGAATGGGAGGCTGGTTACACCTTCTGGAAGGGTAAGCCTGCTGCGGAGAGAAACCGCATTTATGGATGGCTTTGCCATCCACCAACGCATTCTACACAGGCTAACTGGAATGCCTATTGGGATCAACGAGCGCCTCCTGACACTCAGAGTCCCACTGAATCACTCACGTCATGCCTTCTTCCTCAGTGCATTTGCCCCAACATTGGATGCAGAGGATGACATCTAGGAGGCCTTTTACGCCGACCTTGACAGAGTGCTAATCCACAATCCAAACACTGGCATCTCATTGTCAGAGAAAGAGATTGCTGAGATGTCCTCATCACCTGTGCCATGCGTGGCTCAGACCACTGTGACACTGATCATCGACTTCTCACATCCAAGCTCTCACTCACGTCGCCCCAAAACGGTGAAGGCAGCAAGCCTCCTAAAGAGGTTTTAATACTAAGCGTCTGGAGGATCCAGCGGTAGCACATGCTTTCAGAGAGCAGCTCGAACATGGACTTATAAACAACCCAACAGCAAATAATGTGAATCCCATTGCCGAATTGGATGCTGTTCTCCTCGACTTACAACATATCCGACTTACGACAACCCGGACATATGACCGCCTTGGTCGTATAAAATATTTTTCACATTACGTATTTTAGAGTCCCGAAACGTTTGGTTGCAATGTGACCCCGTACGACAGCGTGGGCTGGGCCGCCTCGTGGTGTACAGCATCCACGCCATAACCCGCTCAGTTTGGTGTTTGGCCGTCGTCGTTGTTAGTGATCGCGCTGTGTACTGACAAAATGTTTGTTTCTAATTCCCTTTAAAATGGCTGGCAAGCGTAAAAGTGAGAGTTCTCGTGGTGCTGAAAAGAAAAAAGAGACAGTCAATTTCTTTTGAGATGAAAATTAAGAAAATAATGCAATATGAAAATGGAAAAATGGTAGCAACCATTTTACCCGACCTTGGCTTCTCTCACTCGATGATATAAAAAATTTTGAAGGACAAGGAACGAATTCGTGAGGTAGTGAAAGGATCAGTACCTACGAAGGGAACAATAATAATGAAAAAAAGACAAGGTCCTCTTCATGAGATGGAAAAATTACTTGTGATGTGGATGGAAGATCAGCTGCAAAAGCGTGTACCCTTAAGCCTTCTAACAATACAGGCTGAGACAAGAAACCTTTTCGAAAGCCTGAAGGAGCAGGCAGGAGATGAGTGTGACCAAAACTTCACAGCAAGTCATGGGTGGCTCCAAAGGTTTAAGAAACGTTACAGTTTGCACAGTGTAAAGGTGAGTGGAGAGGCAGCAGGTGCTGATGTGGGTGCTGCCGAAGCTTTCAAGGAGGAGCTAAATCGTGATTGTGGTGGTGGTGGTTCTAGAGAAGTGATTGTGGTGGTGGTGCTAGAGAAGTGATTGTGGTGGTGGTGGTGCTAGAGAAGTGATTGTGGTGGTGGTAGAGAAGTGATTGTGCTGGTGCTGGAGAAGTGATTATTGTGGTGTTGGGGTAAGGATTGTGGTGGTGTTGTGGTAAGGATTGTGGTGGTGTTGTGGTAAGGATTGTGGTGGTGCTGGGGAAGTGATTGTGGTGGTGGTGATGCTGAGAAGTGATTGTGGTGGTGGTGGTGCTGGAGAAGTGATTGTGGTGGTGGTGGTGCTGGAGAAGTGATTGTGGTGGTGGTGCAGGAGAAGTGATTGTGGTGGTGGTGCAGGAGAAGTGATTGTGGTGGTGGTGCAGGAGAAGTGATTGTGGTGGTGGTGGTGCTGGAGTGATTGTGGTGGTGGTGGTGCTGGGAAGTGATTGTGGTGGTGGTGCTGAGAAGTGATTGTGGTGGTGGTGCAGGAGAAGTGATTGTGGTGGTGGTGCTGGGGAAGTGATTGTGGTGGTGGTGGTGCTGAGAAGTGATTGTGGTGGTGGTGGTGCTGGAGAAGTGATTGTGGTGGTGGTGCTGGGAAGTGATTGTGGTGGTGGTGCTGAGAAGTGATTGTGGTGGTGGTGGTGGTGCTGGAGAAGTGATTGTGGTGGTGGTGGTGCTAGAGAAGTGATTGTGGTGGTGGTGGTGCTGGAGAAGTGATTGTGGTGGTGGTGGTGCTAGAGAAGTGATTGTGGTGGTGGTGGTGCTGGGGAAGTGATTGTGGTGGTGTTGGTGCTGGGGAAGTGATTGTGGTGGTGTTGGTGCTGGAGAAGTGATTGTAATGTTGGAGAAGTGATTGTGGTGGTGGTGGTGCTAGAGAGTGATTGTGGCAGTGTTGGTGCTGGGAAGTGATTGTGGTGGTGTTGGTGCTGGAGAAGTGATTGTAATGGTGGAGAAGTGATTGTGGTGGTGGTGGTGGTGCTGGGGAAGTGATTGTGGTGTTGGTGCAGGAAAAGTGATTGTGGTGGTGGTGGTGCTAGAGAAGTGATTGTGGTGGTGGTGGTGCTGGAGAAGTGATTGTGGTGGTGGTGGTGGTGCTGGAGAAGTGATTGTGGTGGTGGTGCAGAAGTGATTGTAGTGGTGTTGGTGCTGGGGAAGTGATTGTGGTGGTGGTGGTGCTGGAGAAGTGATTGTGGTGGTGGTAGTGTTGGAGAAGTGATTGTGGTGGTGGTGCTGGAAAAGTGATTGTGTTGGTGGTTCTGGAAAAGTGATTGTGGTGGTGGTGGTGCTGGGGAAGTGATTGTGGCGAAGATGACAAAGTAAAGTTAAATTTGACGGGCAGTGCGGCGTGGTGTGATGTTGGGGGTCATTGTCCCTCCTCACATAACTGTTTGGCCTTAATTATTAATGTGCCTTTCAACTGATTGGTGAATGTTGTGTCAGTTGTATTTGGACAAAAATATACAGTACTCAAAATCAATTTCCTTCTTTATCCTATGAATGATGATGATGACTGAGCGTGGCTCGGTTATGTTGTTGTGAAGTGGGCTGGCCTGGCTGGATCACGTTGTCCACGCTGCACCGCTCCACAACAATAACATACGACCCTCATCATTGGCAAGATAATTTTTGTATTTTTTAAATACTGTAATATTTTTCCAGGATTCGTGTCATACGGGAGAAGTAACCAGTAGTAGCTCATGAGCCTGGTACATATCATCACATGGTGCAATCATTCGGAAATTTTATTTGAATGCCTGCAACAGATATATTTCAAGGAATTTCTCTAAATGCTAAAATTTTATTTTCTGGGTAATGAAAAGTTCTGGGGGGTCGAAGATTCCAGCTAATGGGGAGATTACTGTATCTACCTGAAATTATGAGTTGAAAATTAACCATAACATAGCTCACAACTTGGCCTGGTAGTAAGAAAGCTGGAGGGATGTGGCTACAGTAACGGGTCTAACTTTGTAACAGTGCCACCAGTGATGCTAACAGATGTAAACAAAAAGAAAATTATCTGTAAATCTCCTTTGTAGATTTAAAGCAGGATATATTGTGAATGAGGTTCTGTTCTTCATGTAGCAACATAAAGTAAAATTCTTGGGGTAGGGTAGGCAAGCCCAGGATAAAGGAGCTTACTGGTAAGGTTAGACTACCACAAGTATGTACCGGGTAGTTATCGTTCACTGTAAATTACCTATGGAAATGCGTGAATTTTAACCCCTCAAAAAAATTACGTGTATATAGTTCGACCCTGATTTTTGTATAAAAATTGGATTTTAAAAACTTGCACTATACTGTACTATAGTACTGTACAGTATGGTAATTCTGAGAGAAACTTTCACACTTAATGGAACGTTTTAAAGATTATTACATCTTTTATAAATAAGGATTAGTGGTGTCAGTATTAGTCATGTAAAATGTCTTGAACTTATTTGGTGGCACAACAAATAAGGAACACTTTCAGTTCTGTACAGATTAATTGGTGAAATAGTTGTTTAAAGTGACTCAAATGGGTGAGGAAGTTGTTCATTGGGAAGCATTGTATAGTTGCTCAGTAGCTTAGATTCAGTACCTGCCATTAAACAATAAATATTTGATTAGGGTGCAGAGAGGAGCCTTTAGTGAATGTTATTTGTAGCAGGCCCCACACTTCTTTCACACAGTACTTCTATCCTCTTAGTTTGTAATGGAAGTTAACTCCTAAAGTTTAGACAGTTAGGTTAACAGTTTACTCCTTACAGCTGAACTGCGTTAGGATGTACATTATACAGTACAGTACTGATATTTGTATCTTTGATTTCCAGAAACAATATACAAGATGTAGACGGGGTAGAAACATCATCACAAGCAAGAGAATGCATTCAGGGGCAGCAAATTGAAATGAGTGAAGGTAGAAATTTTATACAATGTGGAAAGAATTTGAAGTGTCAAAGTATTGCCTCAGTAGAATCTCAGAATAGAACTCTAATCCAGTCAAAAGAACAAGATTTGCACATTTTCTCTGATCCCAAAAAATTGAATATTCCTGGTGCCATTGTAGGACCTCCACCTACTGTGGGCCTAGATGAGTCATCTGTAATTGTATCCAAGTCTTCAGGAACCTTAGGTAACCAATCAGAACATAGGGATTGCTCTGCACTAGCCAATAATTCAGAGAGTGTTATTAGTTCTATTATTGACAGACAGACTGTTAACATAAATGACAACATTATGGACATTACAGTCTCTAGCTCAACAACAATAGATCGTATAGAAACTGAAAAGTCAGAACATAAAAGTAGTTCATTATCCTCTGAACCTAACACTCAGGGGGAACATGACAAAAGAACAGAACAAATGAAGAACAGTGACACATCTACAGCACAGACAATATTGAATTCCATTTCTAAAAACGGCTATCACATCCAAGAAGAAGAGGGACAGTTGGACTCCTCACACAGTTACTCTCTGTCACTGGAGCAAATAAATAACACAGACAACCCCACCCAAAACTTGTTTAAGAGTGACAGTGGAGGGGAAAAACTTGACAATGAAGTATGTGAACTGAATGCCCTGGAATTAAAAAAGATGCAGTTGGTGAAGAAAGTGAAGATGTTGGTAACTCAAAAAAATAATCTCAATTTGCAGAGAGATACTGTTATGAATAATTTCTCTGGTGACACTGCCAAACTTGCCCACATACTGAAGGAAAATTCTCACCTTTCAAACAGAATATCTAGTCATATTCTCAAGATTAATGCTGAGATCAAATTTACCAATAAAAAAATTTGTGATTTGGAAAATAGCAGAAGTAGGGAAAAACCATCTTTACTCAAAGACTCTTGTATGGATAAGAAAAAGACAAATGCATCTTCACATTCTGCATTACTTTCATCAAAACTGGAGACTGAACCAACAGTCAACTTATCAAATTATCATTCTCTACACAAGCATGAGACTAAAGATATTAGTAAAGGTCAGGAATCACATGTCTCAATGCAGAAAAAGTCTACCAGTAAGGTCAAAGACAGTGAGATTCATACAAAACCTAATGAAATTTGCTCTCAGACAGATTCAAGGATGCCAGTAATGACACAGAAAAGGAAGGTTTTTCAGGAGGAAGAAGGTGATAATACAGAGATGTGTGATGAGAGCCTGAGGCAGACACAACATGCCTATAGTGCGAGGGACAACAGTACTGCAAGAAAGGACTCTTACCAGGAAAATATAAAAGCTACAAAAACAAAGGGTGCTACATCAGAGTCATCAAATACTCTCAAAAAGAATTTGTGCCCAGAAAATGATAAATCTGTGGTACTCAAGAGTTACATGTCAGATATATCAAAGGATATGAACACATATTGGTGTAAGCCATGCAACGTGTTTTTTATAAATGTATATGGATATGTGAAACACCTGGAGTCATCAAGTCATCTAGAGAAACTAAAGGTAATTATAATAATTTAGTTTTTTGTATTATAATTTGTATGAAGGAGAATTAATATTCTATGGTTATGATTTGATATCATAATATAAGTTTGCACTTCAACCTACTGTAAATGTGTAACACTACTGTATGATTTTCATTTATGTGAAATTATGTTTTCAATAACTGCTGTGCCTGGTCACTGGAATGATATGTGGATTATGACTTGCTGTCTTCACTCACTGGCTTCAATTTTATGCCTTGGCATGGCAGTAAAGGAGTGCATTGGTCTACTGGATACAGTGCTCACCTCCTATTCCAGGGATCGGTGGTTGGATTCCTGGTCACTCCCAGTTCACCCAGCTGTAAATGGGTGCCAAAGTTTACAACTTGGGAAAGTAAATCCTGTAGAGTACAGTACCAGCCATGCTGCCTGCCTCCTTGTGTACCAGAGGCTTAGTATACAGTGTGCTGTATCCACACTGTCCCTAATGGGCAGTCATGCCCTTAATCCTTGTCACTCAGTCCAAACTGATTTACTGTACAGTACTACCCAAATTTTCTCAAAGACTTTTAACCATGTGTAGTCTCACACACACACAAAGTGCCTTTTGATGAGTACTGTAATGTTCTGCAATATCTGGTCACTTTTAGGTGAGAATGGAACATATGTTTTATCTTTTACTTATGTTATTGATTATTATTTTATGATCAACTTTTGTGTTTAGTTTTCTTTAGGTAGTTAACCTTTACATTCAGTGTGCATGGTGGAGCTTGTGTATCCTATGAACACATGATTGAAGTTTATGAATTTAAAAAGGCTAAATTATATTATAAAACAGAATATCCTGTAATTTTTTTAGTTTCTGTATACAATAAAGCTGAGTACAGCACAGTACAGTTTTGTACTGTATTTGATCAGTTCATCAATACAATACTGTATGTAAATTGTGATTTTTAGAAATTACTGGAAAATATTGGCCATGCCAAATGGAAATGAATATGAAACAAGTGGCTTAATTGGTCCTAATTCTTATACTTTATGTGTTGCAATAGGATGATGACTGCTCGTGGATGGAAAAGCTTCCAAACTACAAAATGGATCAACAACAAGAAGATATTAATGAGAACCAACACACATTAGGTATGTATTTTATAATATTTTCTTTAGTACCAGCCACTTCCTGCTGCCACAAAGTAGCCAGAATCGAAAACAATACAGATTTCTTCACCTGTCAATTGTATACAACTCATAATTGTGATTTTCATTAAGTAGGTCCAAGTAAATTTGAAGGTGCGTATTAATTTAATTGTGAAATATTTGGTATTGTTCAACCAGAAGAGACCATTTATGGCTTTTAAGGCAATTTGACAAATAGCCTGGGAGATTCCTCCTGGCAGAACTCCGCTTGCTAGAGCTCTTCTTGTTCGGGTGACTGTTTCCACTCTAGAGACATGGGCACTATCCGCTCAGGTCAAGATTAGCTTGACAGAGCTCAATCCTGATCCAATGTTGGCTTCCAACTTCAGCAAGACATTAGATAAAACCAATCCAAAAAGTATCAAGACCCAGGGGTTTGATAAATAGAAAACAAGCAATAACCTAAGACATGTTCGTTTATCAGGTGGGTTGGGTTGCTTTTTGTCCAGTGTTTCATATTCTTTTGGATGCCTGGGGTCTCCTTACTTTTTGGACTGGCTGTGCACTGGGTGAACTCTGGAGTTGGTTCTCTAAACTCTAGCAATAAAGACAGGTTTCAAAGTTCTTTTCAGGCATTTTACTGTCAACAGATGTTACCTGAGCTTTCTTTTTTTTATTTCAGGATTAACAAGACTAAAGGATTTATTTTTTATTTTTTTGTATTTTTCCACTCTTTGACAATGTAACTTGTGCCCAGGGCAATTCATTCACCGCGGGGCCCCTTTGTATTCTTAATACAGTGGTCCCTCGGTGAACGAAATTTCGGTTAACGAATTACCTTCCATAAGAATCTTCAATTCGGTTAACGAAAAAAAAATTGATTAACGAAATCCTTACGAAAATCACCTTTTGTTTTGAACATCAGCTGATAAGCTGAGGAGGCACTCAGCCAATTCAATAATCTCTTCTATGTTTACATTCGTTTCCATTGGAATAAATATCAAGAAAATTGTGCTCTTTAATATTTGTGCATTTTTTATACAGTATTAAAGTTATTGGTCATTCTAAAATTTAGCCATCCAAGCTCTGTCTACATAAAGTTTTTCAACTATTATTTTTGGCTCGATATTCATTTATTGAAACTCATTTACATGCACACACTGTCCTAAGGTCAAAGCTGAACTGTACAGTCACCCAAAAAGTCCTGTCGCGAACCACGAACCCCGAGATTCAGACTTGTCAATCCGAAGCATTAGACACTGATACATTATTCTGTCCATAAATGCTTCGGATTCAAGAGTCTGAATCTCGGGGTTCATGGTTCACGACAGGACTCTTTTGGGTGACTGTACATGTAATCAGAATAATGTACAAATTGATTACTAAAATTTTTGTCTAGTGCAATGCAAATTAAATTTTCCCCTGTCACTTCTATTAAATTTTATAAGCAAAAAACAAAAACTCTAATCTAAAGGACATAAATTAACAATTAAATACTTCACACCTCAGCGCCAACTGTCAAACATGTCACTGTCACCCCTCCCCACCACCTTCCCAAGAAAGGTTTGGGGGTTTTCAGAAGGCTTTAAGTTTTAATCATATATAATATCTAAAGCTAGGAGAATATAATTTGCATTGCTGGATTCCTTGCAAGACAGCGAATAATTTGAATAAACGTCATATATTTTGCTGAAGAGATAAAATTAATCACCTGTATCACATTACAGTAGTGATTTAAGAGTTCTAGTGTATATATATATATATATATATATATATATATATATATATATATATATATATATATATATATATATATATATATATATATATATATATATATATATATATATATATATATATATACAGTGACCCTCGTTAACGCCTTTAACGAAATTTCGGTTAACGAACTGCCTTCCATAAGGATCTTCAATTCGGTTAACGAACAAAAATTCGGTTAACGAATTTCTTACGAACCGACCTCAACATGTTTTCGCTTGCACTGACCGGGCAACCAACTTTAGTATCAGTCCGCCAATACATTAATCGGTTCTAGGGCTTAAATTCCTTACTATTTTAGTAAATATCAAGAAGTTTATACTATTCAATAATTTTAAAAGTTTAATATTAAATTTTTTAGTCATTTTAACAATTATTGAACATAATTGAAGGTAAAGTGACTAGTTTAATGCGCGGCATCCAGCCTCTTAACACAGCAAACAGGCGTTAGTCTCTCTCTGTTTTCACTGGAGGTAACATCTTGCTTGAGACTCTCTTCAACTAAACGCTTTTTTTCTGTGTTTCCAAGCTAATTATTGGTTATTTTGAAATATATTTTATATATTGACAATATATAATGCAGTGCAGTGTTGATTTAAAGAAAATAATCTTGAAATACACCAAGAGAACTAAAATTTTATGGGTGAAATGGTGCCATGGGGTGACTTTTCTTCCACCCCAATGCCTTCTCTTCTTCCTTCTCCTCCACCCCCATTCTAATTCCCATCATCATCATCCAGGAGCCTTCTACATACACACTATACTGCCAGATTCTGGGGTCACTAAGTCTAAGGGGATAACTTAACTCTAATCTTAATTTCTAAGGGTCGCTGCCACCAGACCCCCTCTGGACAGCATGTAGCTCGTTAGGTAGCGTGCAGAGTGGACTAGGCATTGGGTTAGGTTTTCCATTGACCAGATCGATAAGGGTAAAGAAGGGTGAAACCATAACATGTCTAAATTGATTTATTCCTTATAAAACATACTGGTAAAAAACATATACATGACTTGGCCTTCCTCAGAAGAACAACGAAAATGTGGTTACCCAGATGGGCCCCAGACTCTTACATTGATGGCGTGTCATCCACCTACTTATTGCATAACAATCTGTGACCACCTTACCTCGGTCATTCCTTCTTACACTATCCCTTAACACATCAGACTGCTCCACCTGTATGGAATATAGCACCGTCGGTTATCATACATAGTAGCACCATCTCAACACACATGTTACACTCCACCCCTGCAAGTATGGGACTCCTTGTGACTTTTAGGTATACACAACAGGCACCTCGTTCGCACACCGCCCTTGGTGGGTAAAGACGAGGGCTTCACCTAGAGACATACCAGCACTATTTCTACGCCTGGTATTATAGGTCGCTCCAAGTGACGACCGCAGAGTTTCTCACGGTCTCCATATTTGTGACTATTCATTTGGAGTGGTGTGCTAGACATCCACAGGTTCACAGTGGATTGGCATAGCGGGGAGTAGTCACCACCTGTTGTGACGCTCAAAGGGATAATGGCGGCCGGGCGGCAAGGCACTCCGACCGCATGGAACCTGAGGTGACGGTAGAACGGGGAATACTGAGGGCATTGCCCCGCCGCTCCTCATCACGTAGGCCTACAGTTTCCAATCCTTAATTTTCACTTTTGTTTCTTATGGTTCTCACCTGAACACTTTTCGGTATATTGTCACTCATGCCTTATAAACACATATTTTAATCCTAAATTACACACTAAGGTAAGGTCTTGGTTTGCTAGTTCGTGGGTAAATTCATGGGGTTATAATATCAACGTGGTACCCAAGGCGGGTACATGACGCGCCTTGAAACAAAGGCTGAATGTTCATGGCGGGGGTGTATCAACTTCACTTAAAACTGTAATGAGGGATCCTCCTCTCACACATTGCACTATTTGAACACAGACATAAGATTCTCTGATCACTGTACCTGTCGTGGGTATATGTCACGTGAGGATACGAGGTGTATTAAGTCCATACCAACGCATACAAGATATTTCCTTTCAAGTATAGTTTCTGGGTCACTTCCAACACCTCACAGAGTTCTGATACATTAATCCTTTTTCCAGATCATTGTTCTCATGTATTTTCATATGACATCTGTGGAAGTTATGTTCGCTACACGCTCACAGACGTAAATAGTATGACCTTCAAACCCTGATCCACACTTAGTCCTACAGTACACTAGTCCGGCTCAACTGGACTTTAACATTCATCTTATGGATACCCTGAGTTCTCCTTAATGCTATGAATACATACAATTAATATGATATAACTGTACCTGGGTACAATACAACACATGGTCTAGTGACATTGAGAAGGTGAGTTGTCCTTTATCAATGTTTCCCGTTTTCCGAGGTTCTACAAGCGCGGTGCATTTGAATGTTATATAGCGTAATATGAATTAAATGGGATTTTTAGGAATGACAATGATGTGTGCAGTACAACACCTCAAAGTAAGTGAACTTTTCTACCATTTTTGTTGAATTTAGGAAATTTTCGGTGAGCTGGAACCAATTCCCCAAAAATGAAAAAAAATCAAGAGTGAGAAACAATGTACCTGTATGGGGAGCTGGTGGTAGAGCGGTACCGTTCTTGCCTCGCAAGCAAGATGTCACGGGTTCGATTCCCGGGCCGGCGGAAGTTGTTTGGACACTCTTCCTAGTCCCCTTCGTCCCTGTTCACCTAGCAGCAAAGTAGGTACCTGCTGTAAGTTGAAAGTTGCGAATTCGTATTCAGGGACAAGTTGTTGGAACTTCCAATAACTTCCTTAGACATAAACCATTGACTCTTCAGGCTTCTACGCCCTTGACTCTTCAGGCTTCTACGCCATTAACTCATGAGACATAAGGCAAACATGAACTTAGCATGCTTCCCTGTTGGGCGCTGTAAACGCTTCTGCGCTTCACCTTACACAAGGATGTAGGGGAGTGCCCAAAAAATTGAAAAAATAAAAATTTCCTGTATGCATGTTGTGTTGTCAATAGTATGAGAAACAATTGAGACCCTGCAATTGTTTGTAAATGAGGCAGAAAGTCAGATCAGCAACCTGGGACTTGGTCACAATATTTGTGATGACACATGTTCTTTGACTTTTCCATTTTTTATTCACGGTTTCTGTGCTGGTTCATATTTATTTACTAATGTGGTTAATGTTTTAAAGCAAATTCTTTTGAAATATGAATGGCAAATGAACAAAAATGAA